TCAGGGCACAGCCGCAGCTGCCTCCTCTTCCTCCTCTGCCTCCTCTTCCTCCTCTGCCTCCTCTTCATCCTCTGCCTCCTCTTCCTCCTCTGCCTCCTCTTCCTCCTCTGCCTCCTCTTCCTCCTCTGCCTCCTCTTCCTCCTCTGCCTCCTCTTCATCCTCTGCCTCCTCTTCCTCCTCTGCCTCCTCTTCCTCCTCTGCCTCCTCTTCCTCCTCTGCCTCCTCTTCCTCCTCTGCCTCCTCTTCCTCCTCTGCCTCCTCTTCCTCCTCTGCCTCCTCTTCCTCCTCTGCCTCCTCTTCATCCTCTGCCTCCTCTTCCTCCTCTGCCTCCTCTTCATCCTCTGCCTCCTCTTCCTCCTCTGCCTCCTCTTCCTCCTCTGCCTCCTCTTCATCCTCTGCCTCCTCTTCATCCTCTGCCTCCTCTTCCTCCTCTGCCTCCTCTCTCTCCTCTGCCTCCTCTGCCTCCTCTTCCTCCTCTGCCTCCTCTTCATCCTCTCTCTCCTCTTCATCCTCTCTCTCCTCTTCCTCCTCTCTCCTCTCTCTCCTCTTCATCCTCTCTCTCCTCTCTCTCCTCTGCCTCCTCTTCATCCTCTCTCTCCTCTTCCTCCTCTCTCTCCTCTTCATCCTCTCTCTCCTCTTCATCCTCTCTCTCCTCTTCCTCCTCTCTCTCCTCTTCCTCCTCTCTCTCCTCTTCATCCTCTCTCTCCTCTTCCTCCTCTCTCTCCTCTTCATCCTCTCTCTCCTCTTCCTCCTCTCTCTCCTCTTCCTCCTCTCTCTCCTTTTCATCCTCTCTCTCCTCTTCCTCCTCTCTCTCCTCTTCCTCCTCTCTCTCCTCTTCCTCCTCTCTCTCCTCTCTCTCCTCTGCCTCCTCTTCATCCTCTCTCTCCTCTTCCTCCTCTCTCTCCTCTTCATCCTCTGCCTCCTCTCTCTCCTCTTCCTCCTCTCTCTCCTCTTCATCCTCTTCCTCCTCTCCCTCGTCTGCCTCCAGACATATACAGCCTGCATTTGACCCAGACATGGATCTAAAGCTCACATGGATCTAAAGCTCACATGGATCTAAAGCTCACATGGATCTAAAGCTCACATGGATCTAAAGCTCACATGGATCTAAAGCTCACATGGATCTAAAGCTCACATGGATCTAAAGCTCACATGGATCTAAAGCTCACATGGATCTAAAGCTCACATGGATCTAAAGCAGACATGGATCTAAAGCTCACATGGATCTAAAGCTCACATGGATCTAAAGCAGACATGGATCTAAAGCTCACATGGATCTAAAGCAGACATGGATCTAAAGCAGACATGGATCTAAAGCTCACATGGATCTAAAGCTCACATGGATCTAAAGCTCACATGGATCTAAAGCACACATGGATCTAAAGCTCACATGGATCTAAAGCTCACATGGATCTAAAGCAGACATGGATCTAAAGCTCACATGGATCTAAAGCTCACATGGATCTAAAGCAGACATGGATCTAAAGCTCACATGGATCTAAAGCAGACATGGATCTAAAGCAGACATGGATCTAAAGCTCACATGGATCTAAAGCTCACATGGATCTAAAGCTCACATGGATCTAAAGCTCACATGGATCTAAAGCAGACATGGATCTAAAGCTCACATGGATCTAAAGCAGACATGGATCTAAAGCAGACATGGATCTAAAGCAGACATGGATCTAAAGCTCACATGGATCTAAAGCTCACATGGATCTAAAGCTCACATGGATCTAAAGCTCACATGGATCTAAAGCTCACATGGATCTAAAGCAGACATGGATCTAAAGCAGACATGGATCTAAAGCAGACATGGATCTAAAGCTCACATGGATCTAAAGCTCACATGGATCTAAAGCAGACATGGATCTAAAGCTCACATGGATCTAAAGCAGACAGGGATCTAAAGCTCACATGGATCTAAAGCAGACAGGGATCTAAAGCTCACATGGATCTAAAGCAGACATGTCCAACCTCAGGCCCGGGGGATAATTGCGGCCTCAGTATCATTGTATGCGGCCCTCTGCCTTAATAACCCACAGTATTCTCTGAGATCATAAACACAAGTTCACTGTGTCATCCATCCAACTCCAGCTCAGCCAACATAGACCTTGTTCTAAAGCCCAGTACGTCGTTGACTTTATTTGTACAAACTTTACTCACATGGTTTTTACCTTTGTTGATGGTTCTAATGTTGCTGGTGAGATGGTGAACATGTGTCATTCAGCCAACTTCAGCTCTGTTATAGATCATCATAAAGCTCAGAACAGCCCGATATCAGTCAGGATTTTTTTCAGTCTGTGATGTCAGTCCCTGGACTAGTCTGTGGCCCTCTTACTTAAAAGTTTGGACACCCTTGCCCTAATGCATTGGGCTCCATAGAACTACTACTGTGGCTAATACTACTGCAAGTTTGGCATTTTTAAAGCTTGGAGAATCTTGCGACTTGTGCCGTTGTAAAGTTGCAGATTGTTGGTTTTAGAGCGCTGATGTAGTTTATTATAGACTCAGGTCCAAAGACACAACTCAGAATCTGATGAGCCTCATTCTCTGTTTCCTCCGGGACTCGAGAGGCACCAGGCCTTCTGCCAAAGCTCGCTCCAATTCCCCCACGTCCAGAGTGAAATCAGAACAAAGTGAAATATAATCCAACTCTCCCCGTCCCGACTCCACCCACCTCCAGGACGGAGAAGACCAGTGTCCGCGACGCATGGAAAAATGGATAATGCTAATGTTAAGACAGCGCTAAAGCCCGGTGTAGCTAATGTGAGTCTGGGAAGAAAAGGCAAGTTTATATTAAGTGTCGTATCTGCAATTCTGAATGATCATTGATAAAAGTTGTTATCTAAATGTGACATAGAATAATAGCCATGATAGGGTTATGTATAGAATAATATACAGTATAGTCCTATATGTAAATAACTGTGATCCATGACTGTAGATACATGTATACAGTTTCTATCCATTGCTATAGATTAAAAATATGTCTCATAAGATCTCCTTTAACTCTAGTAATAATAATAATTTATAGAATAATAACTGTTGCCACACTGGTGAACAATTAAAATCCAAACCTCCTAAAAGCTCTATACTCACCAACACACACAGCTGTAGAAATATCTATATGATTTAACTGAACTGACCTAAAGCTGGGGTACCTGACTTCCAAACCACACAGAACACATCCATCCAACTCTCAAAACAGTTTGGTTTATCAAACAGAACCACCCTCACTCAGAAAATACAATGTTTTCTAATATTATGTCGTGGTGGTTTGGAACGTTACATAAAAACTATCAACACATTCACACTATATTCACATTTACTCCTGAGAACCTTCTGCTTCTGAAACAAACAGTTAAATAGATCTGGGTTTGAAAGACAGATGTGTCTGCAGCGCTGGGTTAGGAGGAGCTCTCTGTCTGTACCTCCTCTCTCTGTCTGTACCTCCTCTCTCTGTCTGTACCTCCTCTCTGTGTCAGGGTTAGGAGGAGCTCTCTGTCTGTACCTCCTCTCTCTGTCTGTACCTCCTCTCTGTGTCTGTACCTCCTCTCTCTGTCTGTACCTCCTCTCTGTGTCTGTACCTCCTCTCTCTGTCTGTACCTCCTCTCTCTGTCTGTACCTCCTCTCTGTGTCTGTACCTCCTCTCTCTGTCTGTACCTCCTCTCTCTGTCTGTACCTCCTCTCTCTGTCAGGGTTAGGAGGAGCTCTCTGTCTGTACCTCCTCTCTGTGTCTGTACCTCCTCTCTCTGTCTGTACCTCCTCTCTCTGTCTGTACCTCCTCTCTCTGTCTGTACCTCCTCTCTCTGTCTGTACCTCCTCTCTGTGTCTGTACCTCCTCTCTGTGTCTGTACCTCCTCTCTCTGTCTGTACCTCCTCTCTCTGTCTGTACCTCCTCTCTCTGTCTGTACCTCCTCTCTGTGTCTGTACCTCCTCTCTCTGTCTGTACCTCCTCTCTCTGTCTGTACCTCCTCTCTCTGTCAGGGTTAGGAGGAGCTCTCTGTCTGTACCTCCTCTCTCTGTCTGTACCTCCTCTCTGTGTCTGTACCTCCTCTCTCTGTCTGTACCTCCTCTCTCTGTCTGTACCTCCTCTCTCTGTCTGTACCTCCTCTCTCTGTCTGTACCTCCTCTCTCTGTCTGTACCTCCCCTCTCTGTCTGTACCTCCTCTCTCTGTCTGTACCTCCTCTCTCTGTCTGTACCTCCTCTCTGTGTCTGTACCTCCTCTCTGTGTCTGTACCTCCTCTCTGTCTGTACCTCCTCTCTCTGTCTGTACCTCCTCTCTCTGTCAGGGTTAGGAGGAGCTCTCTGTCTGTACCTCCTCTCTGTGTCTGTACCTCCTCTCTGTGTCTGTACCTCCTCTCTCTGTCTGTACCTCCTCTCTGTGTCTGTACCTCCTCTCTCTGTCTGTACCTCCTCTCTCTGTCTGTACCTCCTCTCTCTGTCTGTACCTCCTCTCTGTGTCTGTACCTCCTCTCTGTGTCTGTACCTCCTCTCTCTGTCTGTACCTCCTCTCTCTGTCTGTACCTCCTCTCTGTGTCTGTACCTCCTCTCTCTGTCTGTACCTCCTCTCTCTGTCTGTACCTCCTCTCTCTGTCAGGGTTAGGAGGAGCTCTCTCCTTCTGTACCTCCTCTCTCTGTCAGGGTTAGGAGGAGCTCTCTCCTTCTGTACCTCCTCTCTCTGTCAGGGTTAG